TATGATATACAGCGAAAACTGACTGTCACGTAACATAAACGATACAATCATATTATAACGGCCACATTATAATAAGAATAAGAGTAGGGGTGTAGACCGATAATGGTAACAAATTGAAATTGGCTCCGTACCACGCAAACCAGCTATCCATAGAAACCATCGACGTCATCCACTACTCGATTATCCATTAAATATATATATATATATATATAAGGTGGTTATTTAATAGTAAATAATACGAGCGTAAATAAATATACCTACATCATAGTTTTGAAGAAAAACAGAAATACGATATTTTTGTATATTTATATCAGTGTTGACTGTTAGGGAGTTGCGGCCCAATTCCTAAATGACGTAGGAGTTGCGGCCCGGGTTTATGAAAAGTACATACGAATTGCGGCCATACAATAATGTATATAATACATTTATATATAATATAATAGATAACTATAATATATAAACATCACAATATTACGTATTTTCTAGTATAAATTGTCGTACTTATATTAATATTTGTCTTGAAAAAATAAAAGTATTGATTTATTACCTAATAATATTGTATGATAATTTGATTGACTACTGTTTTGGCAAAAACTTAAAACTCAACGATTTAACTAAATCAAAATCATTCATTTCTTTCTTTTAGCTCTTGTTTTGTCCTCTGTACTTTAATGAAAGATTCTTATTCACACATTTTCATTGTTCTTACACTTTTACTTCTGCATTTTATGTATGTTTCAGATTATCTTAGTTAATTCAAGCCATACGGCAGATAAGACGATAAAACGGTCTATATTATTGTTCAAGATTTGTTTTACTAACAATTATTTTATACAATATAATATGTAAATATTTAAATTAAAATAATTTAAGTTCCGACTAACTTAAGATTATTAGGTAGGTATATAATATATATTAGATTATCAAATGAAAAACATCATAAGATTCTAATTTTCGAACGTAGTAGGTGACATATTTTTTCGAAATAACTCATCAGTACAATACATATTGGCCTGATGAATTTATTTTTGACTTGACTAGATGAATGATTTCTATAAATGCTGAAGTAGAAAATCGAAGTAATTCGAATACTCCAAAGYTTAATGACAAACACAAAAAAATTATTTAAAAAACACACAATAKCATTGTAAATTATTGAAGGAATATATTATATTATACTGATGAATTTATTCATTGAAAAATATAATATTTTTTAAAACGCTATTCTCGTAGAAAATAGATGTTTATTGTTAATTTACAAGGTTTATTTGTTAAATTTACCTATGATGATTTTTT